TAGGAAGCGTTTTGATGGCTTTAATCCTAAAATACAAAGGACAATGTTATTAGAACCGTTTTAATGGCTTAAATTCCAAAATACAAAGGACAATGTTATAGGAAGTGTTTTGATGGCTTAAATCCAAAAATACAAAGGACACTGTAAATCTTTATCACGTTTCAGGACTTCTTCGCATAGATTTAAAGTAGAAACTGGTAGATGGCATAAACCTGAAGCAATTCCTTATAATGAAAGAAAATGTAATATTTGCTTAAAACTAGAAGATGAATTTCATGTATTATTAGAATGTCCACAATACAATGTTTTGAGAAAACAGCTCATAGATAAATATTATTGGAAAAAACCAAATATACCAAAATTTATTGAATTGTTAACATCTCAAAATGCAAATGTGATAAGAAAATTATCAATGTTTATCTTTAAAATGTTTGAATTAAGAACAAATGTTGAATATTCGTAAATTATAGTACCTAGGAAGGTAAATGTAATGTTACTTAATTGATATCATTATGATATCATTATCCAAAACATGTGCTTCATTTGAACCTTGCTGCAATATGATTATTCTGTTCATATTAAAGCAAACTTATGACTCAATTATATACAGTATATGTTAAATATATGTTATATATGTTTAATGACCTTGATATTTTGTTTCTGTATGTATGTATGTTTGTATATATGCTGTCTGCTCATGGGTATAATACCCACATGTATTTGGAATAAAATCTTGAAAATCTTGTAATAAGAACCGTTTTGATGGCTTAAATTCCAAAATACAACCGTTTTAACGTCTAAAATACCAAAATACAAAGGACAATGTGTTAGGAACCATTTTGATGGCTTAAATACCAAAATACAAAGGGCAATATTTTAGGAACTGTTTTGATGGCTTAAATACCAAAATACAAAGGACAATGCTATAGGATGCAAAAAACACGGTTTTAGGACCATTTTGATGACTGAAGTCCAAGAATAACAAACAAAGATCAAGGTCAAACAGACCTTGTGGGGAAAAGGTGGTACATTAAGAATCACTAATAATCCATCATTTGACACGATGATAAGACTACTTGCTAAATTGATTGTTACAAACATAATTTAGAGGTATGATTAGCTTATTGACATAGCGGTTATTACCTTTGGAACACTGCCCAAGAACACTGGTCTCTCCTGGAGACTAAGTGGCGGTGTTTCTCTCTAGTGTTTACCTGACAATGTCTTTAATACATTCTTTATTGCTAATTTAGAAAGAAAAAAGTGACATGTAACAGACAGACGTGTTAAAATAAGCTTTCTTTCTTTCTTCAGAAAGTAATGTTTATAAAATCATTTATGTTAGAGTTTGTTCAACGTGAGTCATTGTTCTCAAGTCTTCGACATTACAAAAATGTGTATGCTATTTCAACGTATGAGAAAAAACAATATTTTACAAAACGGTGTCATAATATTTTACAATATCAATTTATATTGTGATTTGTACGTACATTAATATACAATATTTTACTGAAATAATATTCTCATTCTCTCAATTTTTATCAGGATGTTCAACGGAGGAAAGCATTGCAAAACTTAGCTTCTACAACGATGTCGTTGTTAATATATAGTTTTTAAAGTTATATAGAAAAATTGATGGTTCAAATTCATTTTCTTATTTCCTTCATCGTAGCAATTTATGTTGTACGTGTTTATAGAAACAGATATCATCAAAAATAAAATTATAAAACTTAATACAGTAACAATAACTCTGTAGGTTCTATCTGTGTCGCCTGTAGGTTCTACCTGTGTCGCCTGTAGGTTTTACCTGTGTCGCCTGTAGGTTTTACCTGTGTCGCCTGTAGGTTCTACCTGTGTCGCCTGTAGGTTTTACCTGTGTCTCCTGTAGGTTTTACCTGTGTCGCCTGTAGGTTCTACCTGTGTCGCCTGTAGGTTTTACCTGTGTCGCCTGTAGGTTTTACCTGTGTCGCCTGTAGGTTCTACCTGTGTCGCCTGTAGGTTCTACCTGTGTCACCTGTAGGTTTTACCTGTGTCGCCTGTAGGTTCTACCTGTGTCGCCTGTAGGTTCTACCTGTGTCGCCTGTAGGTTCTACCTGTGTCGCCTGTAGGTTCTATCTGTGTCGCCTGTAGGTTTTACCTGTGTCGCCTGTAGGTTCTGTCTGTGTCGCCTGTAGGTTCTACCTGTGTCGCCTGTAGGTTCTGTCTGTGTCGCCTGTAGGTTCTACCTGTGTCGCCTGTAGGTTCTATCTGTGTCGCCTGTAGGTTCTACCTGTGTCGCCTGTAGGTTCTATCTGTGTCGCCTGTAGGTTCTGTCTGTGTCGCCTATAGGTTCTGTCTGTGTCGCCTATAGGTTCTACCTGTGTCGCCTGTAGGTTTTACCTGTGTCGCCTGTAGGTTCTACCTGTGTCGCCAGTAGGTTCTGTCTGTGTTGCCTGTAGGTTCTACCTGTGTCGCCTGTAGGTTCTATCTGTGTCGCCTGTAGGTTCTACCTGTGTCGCCTGTAGGTTCTGCCTGTGTCGCCTGTGGTTCTATGTGTGTCACCTGTAGGTTCTACCTGTGTCGCCTGTAGGTTCTACCTGTGTCGCCTGTAGGTTCTGTCTGTGTCGCCTGTAGGTTCTACCTGTGTCGCCTGTAGGTTCTATCTGTGTCGCCTGTAGGTTCTACCTGTGTCGCCTGTAGGTTCTATCTGTGTCGCCTGTAGGTTCTGTCTGTGTCGCCTATAGGTTCTGTCTGTGTCGCCTATAGGTTCTTCCTGTGTCGCCTGTAGGTTTTACCTGTGTCGCCTGTAGGTTCTACCTGTGTCGCCAGTAGGTTCTGTCTGTGTCGCCTGTAGGTTCTACCTGTGTCGCCTGTAGGTTCTATCTGTGTCGCCTGTAGGTTCTACCTGTGTCGCCTGTAGGTTCTGCCTGTGTCGCCTGTGGTTCTATGTGTGTCACCTGTAGGTTCTACCTGTGTCGCCTGTAAGTTCTACCTGTGTCGCCTGTAGGTTCTATCTGTGTCATCTGTAGGTTCTATCTGTGGCGCCTGTAGGTTCTACCTGTGTCGCCTGTAGGTTCTACCTATGTCGCCTGTAGGTTCTACCTGTGTCGCCTGTAGGTTCTGCCTGTGTCGCCTGTAGGTTTCTACCTGTGTCGCCTATAGGTTCTATCTGTGTCGCCTGTAGGTTCTACCTGTGTCGCCTGTAGGTTCTACCTGTGTCGCCTGTAGGTTCTACCTGTGTCTACCTGTGTCGCCCGTAGGTTCTACCTGTATCGCCGTCTCTGTCACCATCTTAACTAAAACACCGCCGTCTGCTGAACAATGTATCAGCAAAAGTTAAATCAAGAAACTGGACCCTAAAATGACACCTTTTCTTAACAGACAGGAAGATTTCGACAGGCAATGTATACACAGCACAACCTCTGCCAAGCACATCTTTTTTGGGGGCAATGATTTTGGTTGTTGCTGAAAGATATTGTCCTAGAGAGATTTAAATTCAGTGTTAAATCTACTGAGGGCAGTTCTAAAGAGTTTACACTCTTTATGTGGAGGAATAATGGTTTACGGTTACGTCTCTAAACACATTGATATCGGGCTCGAGTCTTGATTTTGGCAATGACCATGTTTCCTATACTATATAGCTTCTGTGATGGTGCGACCAGGAAAAACAACGGGGTAAATGATGATTATAATTTGTACTAAGTTAGCATCAAAATCCAGAACTAAAATTGATACACGTATTTTGTTTTTGAGATGCATTAGAAGTATTCAGCTACAAAATCACTTTATGGCTACACTTGTAATCAGGCAGTTTCTAAATGACATACGCTCTCATATGTTAAATATAAAAAATCATACATCTTTTTTCTTTGCCGCAATGAAGAACTGTTAATCTTTCCCCAAGACATGGAATGTACCCAAAGCATGAAAAATTAACAAAACAGTTTGCACCATGATTATCAAAAGATAATAAAATTCACGATCAGATTAAGGCTACGATGTAATAGATTAAACGTCTGTTCACCCTTTTTACAAGAAACCTCCTTCAGAAATACTGCACATACTAGAGTTGCATTTTTCCCGCTTTTTTGCGATTTTTTTTTCAAGGGTTTTACACTATAATGATGAGCGTCTTTTATCTGTTTTGGGATTCCAGCATATCTGCAGAGCGTGAAAAGTCAACAAACATATCTGTGCAACATTATCAGATGATAACATGTAAAATAATCTGATTTAAACCATGATTTGATCGATAAACCGTCAATGAAATATTTTGCAGCTCTTTTTGTTGTTTTCTTTCATTAAAAAGTCCATTATGCTTTTATACTTCCTTGCGTTTTTTTTTAAAGAAAATCTTTGATAATAAATAAATTTGACGATTCAGGGTGTTTTTTTTTGTTGTTGTTGTTCTTCTTCTTTTGTTTGTTTGTTTTTCCCAACAGCTGTTATATTGTTGTTTTGTTGTTGTTGTTTTTTGTTGTTGTTGATTTTTTTCTGCTAGGGTCGTTCTGTTTCATTCTCAGCGCTAAACAGTCTCTTTAACACTACCGATGCTAAATTTATATTGAGGAAATGACCAGCTTAGAATTTGGAACAGTCAATTATTAATATTAGGGATTTCGGTATCAAAATACTTCAATTATGTAGCAAACAATGTGCAATCTGGCCTGAATTAATATCTGTGCCAGTTGATATGTACTATAGACTATAGTCATGCTCGTCGCTTGCACACCAATGCCTTATAATTGATTATCAGTAGGTCACATGTAACTAAATTGTATACAAATCATGTAATATAAATACTAGTAACATGTAGCATTGCTTTTTAAAAGAAATGAATTTGAGCATTTGTTTAACATGTTCAAAATACGCTTGTATGTTTGTATGCATTGATTATGGCGTCATTTTATTTAATTAACATGACGTCTCTTATTACGTCATATTTTCTTATTTCGTAAAAAATGATTATTTTTGTGTTATAAACATTATATTTTCTTCACATTTACTCTATATATTTTCAGAGTTGTGGTGAAATGAAGGTAACAACAAATGTCGACAAACCAAGGTGTCTGAAATGTGGAGATCGTTGTCCTGGGCTAGATCTTCATTATTGGAGGTATGTTTAACAAATGCTAATTTAAAAAAAAAGAGATAACTACTTTACTTAATGCAGGGCATTTGTTTAAATATAAGAAATATTGAGCTCGTAAAAATAATTATCTTAAATATGCATTTGTGGGGAGATAATTGATAAATTTTAATAATTGTCCAATCCTTGTCTATATTGAAAGTTGATGACAAAGGTATTCGCATGTAAAGTGAGTGACTCATTTATTACCACTTTGATGTGCTTTTGTTAAATATTGTTGCACATTGTCATGAGACTTTTGTTTCTTCAAATCAACCGTTGAACTTCACTTTTTTATCAGAAAGATCTGCAAGCACTGTCGTTGTGGACCAGAGGACCATGACCTTACAGACGATGACGACAAAGACAAGCATCCAATGAATTTAGTCTTTGACGGTAACCATAGTATCGCACGTGAGCTGTCGTCAAGGTTACATCGTCTAAATATAGAAGATCCGGCCGTGCAGTCCGAGATAGTAACGCCAGAGAATGATCTTGTTATACACAGAATTGTGGCTGAAAATTTGGTAATTTATTGAAACATAATCATCGTTTTCAGACTGTTTTCTCCCGTGAGTAATTTTGTAGCACAAAAAATGTAAGGGACAGAAAAACTCACTGCTTAGTACCATAATCGCCACTGTTTATCACGAATATATCAAACTTTTAAAGCTATCGTTAATTCTAATTTCATCGTCCTTTATTTCGCATTGTTATAGTATACAAGTGAATATTAAATTCGACGGTTAGACATGGTGGAATTTTGCGGAATTCACATAATTTCCAGTTTGTAGAATGTTGTCGAGCGCATTTTAATGCGTTTTACATGCTAAAACATGTTTTTCAAATACAAGCCTAACTTTTATTTGTATAATTGCTGCATTTTCTCTTAGAAGTTTGTTTTGAATTAATTGCTAATGGAGTTACAACTATGAGAATAAAACAAGAAGTTGGTTTATATGCCAAGGCGGGCAAGCTTCAATTGTCTGCAAAATGTTGGCAATTTTCCATACCCCCCTTGTAGAGTTAATGCAAGTGTATTTTCCACAAGTGTTAAGACAGCTTGTAAATAATGTGGTAAAATGATGTAGAAAAATGAAAGGTTCACAGTAGTTTGTTTCCTTCAGAACTGTTTTTCTTCATGGATAAAGTAAATAATTATATTTGGTCTGATGTGGTAGTGTTTCCAAGCAGAATTTAGTGCGTTTAAATGAGCAATACAGTACTGAAACGCTCTGTTAGTATCAAGCAGACTTTATAAAATTTGTTCAAAATATAAATAAGCAATACTGGTCGTCTTATGCCCCTTCCTACAACATTGATGGGATTTTGCACGGGTTTTACGGATTTAATTCTAATAAACGTAAACACCAATACAGTTCTTTCGTTAAATTAATTTGTCAAAAAGACAAGAATATTGTCAAGTCATCTTCGGATAAAGGCTGATGTGTCGGACACAACAACTTTTTACATAATGTTGTATAAATCATAAAGAAATTCAGTCGGGGCCGGACAGACTCTTGCCAGGCCGGTCCTCTGAAGGTCGTGGTGTGGCACATATTGCGGTAATAAGGACGTTCAAGTCTAGCCTTTAATCTCAGAGTACTTAATTTAGAAAATTAGTTAATCAAGTAAGTTGCATTTTTCTTTGAAAGAATGCCCGTGGAAATAACAACTGTTAAGCAGGGAGTACGAGTACAAGACAACCCGCCAAAGCCTCTATTGAGCTCTTGATATAAAGACGGGCGCAAAATTGCGCAAAAGCCTTTTTAAAAGCGACGATTCCCAGCTTCATTCAGCTAGTGCGTAGGTGTATCGTTATTGCTTATTTATATAGTTAACCGATCATATGGATATAATAAAAATTTTGTCTGAAAAAAGTTTATGACGGAAAATGTTTTTGAGGAAGTAAGACAAAACAGTTGTTGGTGAAGTGAGAGCACGTGTCAAGTGAGAGCACGTATCTAGTAGATACACCAGGTCAAAAGTTGAAAGTAAATGAACTTTTTCCCTCATCCTTGTTGAAATTTGATCACAATAAATGTTTTGAAAGCTTAATGTTACAAGAGGTCTTGAACTTGTGCGAAGGAAATGACAGCTCAAAGAGGATAAAGGTTACATGCACCTCCGCCTCCTCGTGCATTGGTTCTTTCAGGAAATGTTTCATATGACGTAATATTAGTCTAAAATACTGTTGTATTTTAGCCTAGAATAATATGAATACAAAAAATAATAAGGAAAGCTAACTTGAGAATTGTTGAAATTAACTTTGATTTTACAAATGAGCTTGTATAAATATTATTGCGTATACTTCCCTATATAAACAACAGATTTTATATAGATTATGTTGCAAGAATTATTTACATGCTCAAAGAATTTGCTTATGTAGAGGTATTATCCATAAAATAGATTTTCCTTGTAGAGAAATAGAGGGAATTGATAAATCTATACATTTCAAATAAATATTTTTATTATCGACTGAAACAAATAGTTGTTACTGTAAAAATCGCCGTTCTGTATTCCTACCAGAAGTTAATGCTATATAGTTTGCGATTAACAGTTTTGAAGCAATGTTAAGAGGCTACTAAATGTAATATTTTTAATTCAATATGGAAATACGGTTAAATCTGTCGTTTGGAAATGGAAAATGTGGTAATTTCTTTACAAAACTAATGCTCACGCAAAATAGGTAGTTCTTAACTTTAATAAATATATGTTTAACAAGTATGGTTTGTGGGTTGCAGTTTGTTAAGATCTATATTTAGACTTTGTTATTGCTTATAATATCTTGTCTGGACTGAGGGCCTTTATGTCCTTGATTTGATTCTTTATTACTTTGATTAATAGAGTAAAGTTTTAATTTAACTAATACATATATGTACCATATATATTTCAGAGATCGCAAACATATATATCCATGTTACCAAAAGACAAACAACTTTTTGCCGCGCAATTGCGCAGACGACAATTACAACGCCAACTTCCGCTTCATGATCTCCATGCGAAATTCTGTGACAGCCTGACTGAAAAAGAGTTGCAAAAATTCCAGAAATTTGCCGAGAAACGGAAAAACAAAGCTGTTGGAATAGGAAATGTTGGACCAGTACCCCAGAATGGATTAACTGTAAGCATTGGTTCATTTAAATCAAATTTTTCAAATTGTTTGACTTTGTTTTGAAGCGGCTGACAATGACACATAAAGCAGTACCGCTTATTAGTGCGCTTAGCAACGTCATTGCTGAACTTCCGGTGAAGCATTGTTATGACAAACATCCTATACGTTGTTCTATTTTCAGTGTTTTATCCCCCACAAAGGTTACTTCCAAGCCATACAATATTTTAATAAAAAAACTAGAGTAATACACAAGAATGCTTTCACTTTCATTAAAATCTGTAATACTATTTTTTCGCCATTGGTGCTGTGGTGCTGCGATCGCGCTCAATCGCAGCTTCTCGACCCTTTCCGTCAAACTTCGTATTATTATGAATAATCGACGATGTGTTCCGAATGCGATTGCGCTATGAGCGGCAAGTAAACGCTTCGCCCTTTTAGAAAATGTCTTTTACATGATTATTACAGTATTGTTCTGGAAAGACATCATTAGTCGTTTACAAGCCAAGTGGCTAATTAAGATTGTTAAAATATTTTCCCTCAATTCGTCGAAACAAGACGTTCAAGATGCTTAATTAAGATAATTTTTAGTCTTGTTGAGTTTTGGCTTATAGTTGAACATCACTTCACTATTACCACGCCATGTCATAATATTTTCTATAGAAATTTGAAATGTTTGCCAAATGGTGTCTAGTGAAGATCTTGTGGTAATCTATTTTGAATTCCAAAGCTTAAGACCTTAATTCTACAAAAGTTTGTTTCAACTTAAGGTCGTTACGTCTTTTACTTCAACATGTTTTGTAATCACTGTAACTGCATTCATTAAAAAACCCATTCAGAAAGAAATTACATAAGGTTTGACCGTCCGACTGTGTCCGTCTGTTAGTTTACCTGCCATTTTTGAGGTGAAATATTAGTAGGATGAAAAAAAGTTAGAAGAAAATCGAAAGAATAGCCTGATGTATGTACGATGGGAGTGTCCTTCCTTTTAGAGTTATAGCCCCTGAAGTCAATATACAGAAATACGCGTGTGTCGTTTAGAGCTACAACTCTGCAAATGTCTTGCTCTGTTAAGTATAATATGCATTTATTTTGACAAGCAAGTTGACACGCGACATATATTATATTAGATTATCTTTAGTAAATACATGAAAATGAATTATTACCCTTGAACTGTCAGAAGCAAGGTCTGAGATCTGACATTTGTGTTCCATTAAAAATAATATTTTATGTATGTGCTTGACTTAAATATATTGAAGATATGGAATAGTGATTTTTCCTTTGTTTTAGATAATTGTTTAGAGAATTGTTTAGAGAATTGTTTAGAGAATTGTTTAGGAGAATTGCAACTACATGCCCATGGCATTTGCTCTGTTCTTCCTTTTCAGAGATGTCATAGATGCGAATTAACGATAGACTCGAAAGGTTTCGCAATGATAACGAATAGAATGGGACCTTCCGCTTGTTTCCATACCGGATGTTTCACGTGTGCCACGTGCAAGGAATTGCTTGTTGACAACATCTACTTCTTCAGAACTGGTGATATCTATTGTGGCCGCCACTATGCAGAACTTGTGTATCCGAGATGTTCCGCATGTGATGAGGTGAAACCTTTTTTTTTACTATCATTTGTTAGTTAAGTTAGTTTATTCGAATTTATTTTAGTTCGATTGTTTTGGAAGCTATAAGCTATTTAAAACACTCTCGAATCCATTCCTGGAACTAACCCGTACGTAGCAATAAGTGTAAAGTTTCTAACTCAAGGAAACAACGGCTTGCCCTTGACGGGGTTTGAACCCACGCGGTCAGCATTCCTTACATTACTAGTCCGATGCGTTAACCACTCGGCCACGAGTTCTGTCTTTATTTTCTCCGAATCAAGAGATAGGTTTGATCTTATATTTGAAAGGAAGCTCCTTTTGTTCTTTTTGTTCGGCTAAAGACGCAGCAGGTCCAGAAATACTTTCTCAATAAGACGCATAAGCAGTGGATACATAAAGAGCTTAGCTATGCCACGATGTTTTGGGTAAAGAAGCCCATATCTCTATATTGAATTTTGTCACGGTCTTACCTGCTGCCAGCGAGCAATGTTCTATAAAAGTTATACCGGAAGTTAACATGGTTTAGCGTCATGCTGCTTGGTTACGGACATACCAACAACTAAAGAAGAGAGAAACTATAGTATTGCGCGAATTTTAGTGGAATAGACTTAAGGTTGCAATAGTTTGCTTCTATTTTAATCTTCCTTTTTAATATTGAATTTTTACGTGATTTTAAATTTGTTCTTGTATATGACGAGTACAATTAGTTCAAACCATATAGCGGTGGCAACGGGAACAACTTTACGATGAACATTTACAATCTATAGCTCACATAACCACAGTTGTAGCTTATATACTCACTCCATTGCTAAGCGACCATTCAAAGGGAAATAATCAGAATACAAATGTATCATCAAAGTAAGAACTTACTGAATAATTTATACAATACTTATATTTGTAGATAATTTTCGCACGAGAATATACTCAAGCTGAGAACCAGGCGTGGCACGTGCAACATTTTTGTTGTTGGTACTGTGATACCCCCTTGGCGGGCCTCAGATACATCGCCCAACAAAACAACCCGTATTGTGTTCAATGTTTTGATCGGCTATATAGTAAGGTGGGTGTTCAATCAATTTTCATAGCCCTTAACTGTATACATAATTGAGCCGCGTCATGACAAAGCCAACATAATAGGTTTGCGACCAGCATGGATCCAGACAAGCCTGCGCATCCGCGCAATCTGATTAGGATCCATGCTGTTCGTTTTCAGTTTCTCTACTTGTTATAGGGTTTGTAAGCGAACAACATGGATCCTGATCAGACTGCGCGGATGCGCAGGCTGGTCTGGATCCATGCTGGTCGCAAACCCATTATGTTGGTTTTGTCGTGACGCGGCTCATATGAATGTTGCTGACTGACAATCGTAGATGTTAACTTGGCAAAAAATATTTTGCTTCAATGGGCATGGCAAAATCTAACGAAACATTTAGTTTTTTTATTCCAACAAAAGTCAAAAAATAATTATGTCTTTACTAACAATATGCGGAGATAGAAACTGAATAAAAATGATAATAAATTATAACAGAAAATATTCGTAATGCTAATGTAAATCTGAATTTTACTAACCAGCCAGTAAGTGGCACTATGTGGATTTTTCAAAATGAGATATAGGTTTTACCCAAACAAACAAAAACTTGAGTAGTTTTTTATTGTGTGTTCTTAAATATTTCGCAAAAATGATGCATATTTATGTAACATATTATTTGTAAAATGCATCCCGAGGTACATTTGTAAGAGAAAGGCTAGTAAAACGCAAGCACTTTAATATTGATATTCCAGATTCTTCAACGTAACGGCATCCCTGTGTAAAACAATGATGTCATAACTTGGGTCATACATTACGTAACGTGGTATGTGTCATGTTTGTTCATTTATAAAACATATAGTCTCATACGCCTTTCCTTTCTGACATGAATGCTCAGAAATCAAACTTTTTTTTTACAAAGAAAGGACAATCATCTTACAGATGTAAACTGGGGTTTTCGAATCGAAAATGTGCCCTTCTAATAAGACATAATTTTATTTATGTAAAAGTTTAAAAAATAGCAATTTTAAAATTTTAAGCAGGTTTTGGGTCATTGGAACGCATTCCTGGTGAAAATAGCAGTCGAGTAGGTCTGTAGGGACGCAAAAATGTTGTAATCCTCTTCGTTACTTATCATATCAGAATATAAGATTACCTTGTTTAGTTCTATTGGACAAATACACTGCCGTCAAACTTATATTTGACAAGGCCCTAGCAGAGTCCAAAAATGAATTTTGCAGCTGTGTACGAGTCCAATAGAAAGAGTATGCTATTCAATTATGCATATTGACTTTTAACACACCATTTTTTATGTTTAACAGAACTTTGTTACTAAGAGTAAAATATATATTAAATATGGATTATAAAAAAATGCCAAAAATGGAAAAGAAACCAGATAGAGAAGAATATTGATTTGATATAGGTTTTTGAGCTTTGAAAATGAAAACGAAGCTAGATGGAGTGCAGTATAGCTTTGATACAGATTTTTGAACTTGGGAAATGAAAACGAAGTAAATTGATAAAATAGGATCCAATGATGATTTCTATTGGGACATCACGTGATACAAATCCTTGCAGTTCATTGGTTATATTTTATAAGGTCTGAAATAAATGTATACTTTTGTATATCTACAATTGTATATATAACGTTTATCAATATTTGTTGGATATACAAATGTGATGTTAAAAGAAAAACGGTTTTCAAAACTATACGAGGAAATTCAACGAATAACAAAATGGTTGTTTTTGTTTTGTTTTTATTTAATCATTTTTATACGATTGTATGAATACATCTGTCTGAGATATCGAATTTTTATGTTAAATAGATTTCATGTACCAAAACATTATATACATTAAAAGTTGGGGTGGATGGGAAAAATTTAAATGCTGAGCCTGACCTCTCGTGTTAGTTTTCTCTGTTTTAACTTGTTTGTACTTTATGTTCAAGTATAATGCATGACCCAAGTTCAAGTTTCTCTAGAGAATATCTTGTTCTGATCTGGAATGTTAATTTTGAATGTATCTCTTCCTTCATAAGTTTCATTGCTTTTTGTTTTGTTTTAAATTTATTCGAAACCATTCAAGTCTTAGTAGAACAGGTTTTTCTTTTGCTTGAATGTTATATGACAAGCAAAAAAATAAATTAAATTAAATAAATAAATAAATAAAATTTATAAATAATGTTACCGTTTTCATTGGCTATTTTATTCATCTGCATTATCATATATATTTTTATTTTATATAATAATAAAATTAATAATAAAATCAGAGAAAGTATGTATGTATGCCTGTAAGTATATTGGACAATATTTCAGTTACAGTGTGTCCATCAAAACCCTCTATTGTTCTGAAATTTAGTATAAACAGGACAATGTTTCTTGTGTCAATATTATAATATGCTAATATAAAGGCACAGACAAGTCTTGTTCTCCCTTACCTTGCTGATTTCCGAAACTGAACTTGCCCTTTTTTTTTATTTTGGAACTGTCCATTGTCAGTTTAAGGGAGCTCAAAATACATGTACTTGTTGAGAAACTAACAGTACAGTAAAGGATTTGATCAGACGAATTTGCGTGCAAATTTGCCAGACTCTGAAGGTAGCAAAGCAAAATCATTATCACTGCTTGTACAAATGATCAACATAATATTTAAAACTAAAGATATCTTATAAATAAGTTGTGTAAACAAACCTAGATATGTGAGTATATTGGTGTTTGTTTATATGTAAAAAATAATACCTTATTATTTTTATGATGAAAACTGCTTCCTGCAACAGTTGACTATTTAGTTTTAGCATCAAATAGGATAGCAAAAAAGGGCAGTTCAAAAGAACAAGTGACAAGTTCAGCGGAGTGTTCGATTAAAATATTTTTTTTTTGTAAACGAACTATGTTCCAATGTTTTGTTTTTAATATTTTATCATTGGATAGATCGAAACATTTTATTTTTCAGGTGTGTAGCACGTGCAGTAGAACTATCACGGCGGACTCGCCAGGCTTGTCACACGGGGAGTTTCACTGGCACGCATGTCCTCATTGTTTTTGTTGCTATTGCTGCGGAACAAATCTCATTAACCAGCAGTTTCTACTGAAAGATGGAAAATTATTCTGTAGTTTAGACTGTCGCCATACTTTCGTAAACTCTCCGAAGAACGCTTTCCAGCGTCCTGTTCACATCCATCACCATTAACTTATATTTGGTCATTTATGAACTGATTTTTTCGCTGCTTAAATACATGGAGCTAGTCTGCTGTATTTTGCCATCAATTCATACTAAAAAGGATTGGTGAAGAAATAAATATTTTCTACATTCATAGACATTGGTCCAGTTTTAAAGAGTAGAAATTACTGGTTTGATAGGCTTAACGGGCAAAGTCGTCCCTTTTCATTAACATAATTAACATAACAAACACATTATTGACCAATTTTCCACTGCAGAACTTATTTAAGACTCATCCTCTGAAGTGGCCGAACCACCACAAGACACTAGTATGCAACGTTAATATTTTTGCTTGAAAGCTAATTTATCCCTTTCTTTAACTTAAACTTGCGAGTTAAAACGGTCTTTGAATACATAGATAGATTAAAATTGGATGTAAAGTTTAAAATGCTTTCTTGTTTATGCTCATAACTATTTTCAATCATCTACTTTTAAAATTCCTTCGCACTGAAATATATGTCAGCAAACTCCCTTTAGATGATTGAAACCGTTGCAAAACTTAAATCTAAAGCCGAACTGTTCTTAAAAAGAATGTCGCACAACAAAATTTTGTATATTTATTGGTAAGATTCAAATCAATGTAAAAGACGAAAAAACAAGTATGACATTGGGACATATACGGTATTTTTAAAGGAACTCCACTGAGGTCCAAAAGCCTTTAAACATAAAATTTGAATTTCTTACATTGATCAACTGGAACATTAAAAAACGGAAATATATTCAAAAGATAATAAGAAATTTACTCAGAAATAAATTGAAAATCGTAATGTTGTGCTATTCTGAACCCGCTTTTCAATTTTGGGTCATTTTTCACAATAACAATAAATATTATGGAAAAAGCGAATGGTCTGTTCAAAACTTTGCTCGTAAGTTATTGGTCTAGACCTACATCAAATGGAAAAAAAAGCTCGAAAACTTATATCCAGTCCCGTCATGTCAAGAAAACCTCAGTGGTGTCCCTTTAATGCTTGATTTTAAGACTGAAAACGTTCTTTGTATATATAAATTTAATTTTAGATCAAAGCTGAAAAGAAAATGTAAATATGGAAGTGTTTTTATAACTAGTGGTCTAACCTATGATAATAATAACGGGTTGTTGTTGTTGTTGATGATGTTGTTGATAATGATCTAGTCTTTGGTGACAGTGCTCAATCATATATATGTATATTCTATGTGTATATCTTAAAATAAATAACAACATTTTATTATTTAATTTCATTATATATGTACTCTCTTTGTTTGACATGAATAAAAATGATTACTATAAAAATAGTTGTAATGTTTAGCCCTCGAGCGTAAGAACATATTTTAACCTTTATTTGTTTAGAACTGAAAGTGTTTTGCCTTTACAGGCAAGCTTGAACCTGCGTGATGCGGTGGCTGTGCTCTGGTAAACTCAATGTGGCTTTCTGCCATGTCCCGGAGTGCCACCACCTGCGTGTTACCGTCCTGTTAGCTGAATGGGTTGAGCGTTAATTGTGAATCGGAAGATCCGGGTTTGGTTGTGATTGATCATAAAATCCTTTCTCAGTCATTCACACTAACTCTGCTCTTGCATGTACAGAAGTTACAGTTACAGGCAACTAGTACTGGTAAATTGCGTTTGACAGCCTGCCTAGGAACGATACGGTGGCTGAACTGTGCTCTGATACATTCCATGTGGCTTACTGCTGTGATTCGGAGATTAAACTACCACCACCACCACCACCTGCGTGCAGTTTGAACTCGCTCTAAAAGCGCATTAAGGATAGCTGTTTTTTTATATTTTGCAATTAGTTTATACTAATTCATTGCAGTTCGATTGTGTTGGAAGCTCTAAGCTTATTGAAACATTCTCGAAGCAATGATTGGTATGTTGCTTGCTCGCGGAAACAATAGCTTGCCCCTTTCGGGGTTTGAACCCACGCGGCCAGCAATCATTAGATTACTAGTCCGAAGTGTAAACCACTCGGCTACGCCGCCACTCCTACTCTCAAACTTTTCTATTGGGATCCCTTTAAACTTTTATGAACTGTTCTAATTTCAAAGCATGGTAAATATTTATGTTATTTACAAATTTTAAGGATGTAGTGGCCAAATCCATGTCAAAGTAACCACGCATACTAGACTGAAAGTGTTGAGAGGTCACAATTTTGATTTTATAAAACTTAAAACCAGTTGCACGATTTTTACACAATGGCTTCTTTAAATTAAATGTAATAAATAATTAAATATCTTTCTCTTAGTAATAGTGTTGCAGATTTACAGCTCACTGTTAGCGTTACGCTCCCTTCGCAGCTCACTGAATACACTCACGTTACTTCAGAAGAAGTGAGCGATAGTGGAACATTCGACCGATGCGCAGGAGAGTATGTTAGCGTTTGACAGTCTTTGAATCTAGGTGTTGCATTAGGGGATATTTAGATCATTGTTTGTATTTTAAGCCGTTTGGAGCTCCACAGTTCGTGTGTCTGTGCTTTCTATTAATGATAATTGTTGAATTTGTACATGATGACGATCTAGATTAAGTTACCATAGCAACCTGTATGATGTTAGTATGCACGAGATTTTCGTGCACAACTTGTCATATCTTTGTTTCAATGCAGGTTCAATGGTTATATGCACAAATACCTCAAGTTTATCATTTCTACTAACTTTCCAAAAAACTTTTTATGTAGGCAGCTGAATTGATTTACATAATATTATAATCATGTATTCTTATAATTATACTAACAATAAAAAAAATCGAGCTTTAAAAGTTTCTCTACAAAGTTATTTTACTTGTAATGAAGGTGCAAATTTTAATTACTTTGTTAAAAGATAATAAAAGCATCCCGTGGTATATCCATTAACAGTATCAAGGTCTTTCAAATATTTGAAAGACCCTTACAGTATCAAGAACAATTAAGAAAGTTAAAATTCAACAAACAAACTTTGATAAATTCTTCTGCAGTAAATACATGTACAATTAAATTCCTCATGCAATATAGGGTCAAATAAATTCTGTCAAAGTAAATGGAACCAAGATGACAATGTGTAATTTCCACTACATTACATTGACATGCCAAAAACTTGTCAAATCAGCAATTTGACAAATACATGACTGTGTACTATTATGCAAACTAACCAAAACAAAATTTAAAATTGCTGTGTGTAGTAACAGAATTTTCATAACATGGAAAATGCTTACTGCCAAAATAGCTCAATTATACCTTAACAGAAATTTCCCTCAAAATTTTTAACTGCTTTCAATTACATGGTAATTAATATAAAATTTTCTTTCATTAAAGGGACTCCACTGAGGTTTTTTGTCTGAATGGGACTGGAAATAATTTTTTGAAATTAATATTCTATTGAATGCAAGTCTACACCAATCACTCGTGTGCAAAATTTTAGATCATTTGCTCAATCCGGTTTCCCAGAATTCTTATTCAAAATGTGAAAAATGATCCAAAATTGAAAAGCGTTTTTTCACTCAAATCAGAATAAGAATAGTACAAGAATACTATTTTCAATTTATATCCAAGTATATTTCTTAATAATCTTTTTTATATATTTCTACTTTAAGTGCCCCAGTTGATCTATGCATAAAATTGACATTTTATAAGTTTTTGAACCTTTTGCCACCTCAGTGGAGTTCCTTTAAAACAAAATTTTCTTTCATTAACTAAAATCTAAGATACCTAAATAATTTTAAGCTACACTGTTATTTAACAATCCGTAAATAGAAGTTTTTCAAAATATTCTGTAGATTTCAACCCGACAATTCCAGTTTTTTTACTAAAATAAGTATCTTTTTTTTCGTTATGACAGAAATGTGAATTGTTAACAAGTGAAGAAATAAGCATACTTTCTTAGTATCATAATACAAGTCCATTTACACACTAAATATGAAATTGTACATTTTGTTATATATACATTATTAGGGTATGCATTGCTATAAAAACATATTTTTTTTGTAGATGATATAGAATTATGTGAGTTAAAATCATGTTTTTTTTTATATATGTAAATATCTAGGTATGTATGATAATAAAATTCAATACTGATAAAAAATATTTATGCATCTGAAATATTTTTTGGGAGACCATCATGAAGAAAACAAATGTGAAAGTGATAGTTTTGCAAAATATTATTTCAAGGGAGGTAACTATGCATCAATATCAAATATACCTAGCAGATTTACCTCCCTTGAATTTTAACATTTACTTCTTTAGCCGAGTTGTTCATAAAATGCTTATTTCAAAGTATAATAAACAGCACTAGTGAATATGTAACTTCGCAAAAAAATGTTACATTTTTCAATGGAGGAAAAAAAATCAAATGCACATTACCAAGTAATGAACATTCTCTTTGACTGAAAAACTAGATTTTTACAAAAATTAAAACAACATTCAACTTACATCATAAAGATTGATGATACATAAAAAAAGTAAAATAAAAACTCACAACCAATTACCTTATTGGTTTTTAATAAAAAAAGAAAGAAAAATAAACAGAGAAAGTCACTAACATTTAAATACAATTTACAAACAGAACACTGAAAATAAAACTTGTATAAATACATAAAAACATGGGAGAGTTTCTTTTTGAATGAAGTTTAAAATAACACAACCTTTTGGAATTTTCTATGATATTCAATGCATGCACAAAAAGGTTATATATTTATAATTTTTTGTCATAAAATTTTGAAAAAAAACCCCAAAAAACCTGATGCTAAGAAAGATAAATAAAATCCTAATAAAACAATGAACATTTTTACAACAGTAAATATGTGATAAAACATATTTTTATGTAATTCAAATATATATTGATGTAAAGATTCTCAATAAAAACCAAATGATAGATGATAATAAGATCAATTTTCTTTTGTTAACAAAAAATGTATTTTTTACAGTTCACACCCCGTTTAGTGTATTTTAACCCTAAACCCTTTTATATTTGTGCAATAGCCTTGACTTACTTTTGTCTTTGCTTTTATGACATTGACCTACTTTTGACTTGTGCAATGGTCTTGACCTACTTTTGACTTGTGCAGTGGCTTTGACCTTCTTTTGACTGGTGTCATGGCCATGACCTACTTTTGCCTTTGGAACAGTCTATTGTATATCTAAGGGGTTCCAATATCAAATGGATACTTGAGTACCAATAGTTAAGACTATGGATATGCCCACTCTTAACTTATTGTTTTGACAAGTCATTATCCCTTAAATGGTAAAAATCTTCCTAGCAACAGCAGTGACACATTCTAAATCTTAATTTGCACAAACTCACTTGCGTCCAAAAGAACAACTTCTCATAAAATCCTTTGCAGGTACGTTTGAAATAAAATATTTTCATATCATTATTTCATCATTTAGAAAATACATGTAAGAAAGTAAGTCAAAGTTGTTCACACAGTAACAAATGGTATGCCTAATTTAAGGAATATCATTAAATACAATCACTGCCTATGTTAATTCTTCAAAATGATTGTGGTGCCAGTTTGTTACAACACTGAAGTCTTAATTATTATTATTTTACCCTTTTTACTTACCTATAACTTGGAATACTTATACCTTAACATTGCAATCAGCAGGATTGAACTTTGACTCTCACAAAAGACTGTTTTAATTCATTAAAATTATAGTATTTTGAGATCCCATTCAAATAAAAGCAATGTGCTGTACAGTGATTAAAATCTAATATTTCTAAACTTAAACTTATCTCCTGTTTCTTGTAAAACCTTGATTTAAAAAAAAGAATAAAAAATCTTTAACCATTTACTTGTTATTAAAAAAAGAGAGAAAAAATAACACAATATATATTCTGCAATATCCATCATACATATAGTAAGCATGTATATAACTGTAGCATAATAATAATTGTAACAGCAATAGTCCAATAAGTATTTACACATAGCACAAGCGACTGAAAATCACAACAAAACTATAATAAACAAAATTCCATGTTCCATTCTTCCACAGCACCAAAGGGAGGCCACTCTCCTTACACTGTTACTGTTTACACAGCAGAGTTACTTCTCTTACATCAGCAATAATAAAATAATGAACACTTCAAAGTATGTGCATTTTAACAGACTTTCATACAGGCCTCTTACATTAATCTAACAATATCTCCTGAAAAATTCACCTTCAAATACATGTATTCATATTTCATCATTCACATCAACTAACCCAGTTTAAATAAGTGCACTGGCCATTAAAAATATAAGCTGCTTACACAATACAGTCTCTGAAGTTAACTGTGTTTGTTTCCATTACAGCTAGACCAGAAGCAATAACTGACATCTCAGTATCACAGTAACCCTTTCCCTTGTACATGCAGTTGCCAGAACATGATAGCAATTGAGTAAAGCCGGTCACCAGATGTATTATTACATAAATCATAGCAATAACAGTGGAACCTAACTCATTTACAATGGAAAAAAAAAGATGAAAATGTAACCATAACTTTTTAATTGAAACCATCAAACTGTAAATATTGATATAGGACCCAGATGTATCGAAACTGGACCCAGAAACACTGACACTGGACCACCTCTAAAATGTTGGAACTGGAACCAAAAACACTGCTAATGGAACCGGGAACATTAATATATTGGAACTGGAACCAGAAACATTGATACTGGAACCAGAAACATGGAAACTGAACCCGGATGTATTGGAGCATATACTTGAACCAGAAACATTGATACTGGAACCCCAGAAACATTTGATACTGGAACCAGAACATTGGAACTGGAACCAGAAACATTTGATACTGGAACCAGAAACATTGAGGCTTGGCTTCAGAAATATTGGTACCAAAACATTGTAACTGGAATTAGAACATTGTAACTGGAACGAGAAATATAGATACAAGAACCAGCATGGTTCCCTATTCAAGAACTTTGTAGGACCAGTTAAAACTGACTCCTTTGATACACTGTCTATTTAACTAATTTCTTTAACAACTTAAGAAACCAGAAACTATTACTGTTTTTTTTCAAAGCTTTCCTTTCCAGAATATACCACTATAATATCATTGTTCCTTTATTAACTCTCTACATAACTACAATGTACCTCAACTTCTTCATCATGTGCTTTCTCTAGCAAAAGAACATTTGTCGATTATTATATCAACGATAACCTTATGTATAAAAACGAAATCCACTATAGTATACAATTTACAAATCTATTTGAAAATACTCTTCAGGAAATGAATTTTATGGAGGCACATAAGGTGGTGGTCCCCTTGACGACTGTACATGAGGGGGTTTACTATTATTAGAAGCTGTCACTGGTGGAGGAGGGGAGTAAAGAGGAGCTCTTTCAGAAGTGTCCTCCATTTCTATCTCCTCAATGTCTTTATCTTCAATTGGTTGTGTAGAATTAGAATTACCGCTAGTTTCACTAGATGCACGTTGGTATTCCGGTGGTGGCATTGGTGGCTTTTCATCCTCAAGAATGAGAGGATGTGTAGAGTCATTTGGTTTTTCATCATACTCATCAGCAAAAATAACAGGTACCCCCTTATTATTGGCAAACTTATTTTTCTCTTCCAACTTCATTTTACCCTTCCTTCTCTTTCTGTACAAGCAGCAGGCAATAATAAGTGCGATAATGAGTACAATAACAACAACTATAGCTGGTACAACTGTTGTAATCCATATATCACTACCGCCACCTCCTGCTCCGGCCGCTGCAACGGCAGCGGTGGTTTTCTCTGTTGACGGTTTAACAGTTGTCTTTACAACTGGTTTATCTGTTGCTTTCTGTGTTGGTGATGTTGTTTTCTTCGCTTCTGTTACTTTCGGTGTCGGTTTTGGTGTTGTTACCACTTTCACGCCCATTGCTCTCTTTGGAAAGTCTGGATTGTTGGTACAAGCTCCAAGAGGTTCAGCAGCAGCTGCATTTATTGTGTACGGTTGTAAGGAATCTAGAGCACTCTCTGTAAGTGTTCCATCCTTATTAAACATTTTATCAAACAAGTCCGTAAGCTCGTCAGTTGGACAGTCGTTGCTAGCCATGGAATTATTTGTCCAAGCATAAATCACAGATCCTTTTTCTAATCTTGTCACTGTCAATGAGTTTGAGTTCTTCTCACCAAATATTCTCGACACTTTGTTTGACAGCTCAATTCTATTATCGAGACTCTTCATAAATTTGTTATAATCTGTATCAATTGTCATACTAAGCTCATGATTTGGTGGTGTTGTCATCATTTCTTTGCCCTTCACAACAACATTAAAATTATGACTTGCTGATTTTCCGAGAGAATTAGATGCTGTGAGTTTAAATGAGTAGCTCCCAGCATCTGCGTTAAGTGGATTCATTATAAGAATATCTGGACGTGAGAATCTTGTGTTTAACTGAAGCCAGAAACCATCTGGCAGTTTCTCATCATTACTAAATCTAACTGTGTGTTCAAGGTCATATTTGGTGTCTTCATAGCAATCCATGAAAGTGTCTTTGGGAATTTTCATTCGTATGATTGATCCTGCAATGAGTTCCTGGTTTGGTATTTTCTTATGAACTACAAGAGGGCACGGTGTAGGTTTTTCAGTTTTAGCTTCCGTTGTTGTCGGTGTGGTTGGTTTTTTAGTTGGAGGTTCAGTTTGTACTGTGCTACTAGTTGTTGTGCTTGTTGTGGATGGAGTAACTTTAGTTGATGATGTTTCTGATGATGTCATAGTTAATGATTTTGTTGGCAAGACTTCTGTGGCTTTGGAAGATGAAGTAGATGTTGTTGTTTCTGATGGCTGAATAATGACAGAGCTGGAAGTGGTTGATGGTTTTGTTGAGGTTTCAGGCATAGCTGTCGGTTTTACATCTACTGTTTTAGAAGGTGCTATGACAACTGATGATGATGCAACTTGTTCAGAGCTTGTGGCTTTTACTGTACTAGGTGTAGGTGGCTCTATGCTTGGAGTTGCTGTGACAGCACGACGACGCCTTGGTTTTGCTTGAAACCTTGTGTTTGTTACATGCCAACCAACAACGTCATGTCCAACAGATGCTGTCATATCACCATTACCTGCAGAAGATTCCATCTGTTGTAAGGTTGACATATGATTATTATCAACCTGGCCACAGCCTACAATCCAAGACATTAATGCTCCAGCGGTTTTTGGTACTTTAATGTTTCCAGGCCCAATGACTAGTGCATTGCTATCAAACATAGCCTTGTTGCCAACTGGCATAAGTTTAAGCATTTCTTTAGCGAGGTTGAGATGACTTGCCATGTTTTCAAGAAGGCTGATTTTCTCTCCTGGGTTTATGTGATTTAGGTCAACATCTACAATGACAGATACAATAGTCTGTGGAGCATCACGTTTACATCGGATCTCCTTCGGAGCACTCTCGTCCTTCGATGGTATTGGCGTAACTGGTCCAATTGTGTCATCAAGTATGTCTATTGCGAATACGTCGGTAACATGAGAGTTGTCGTCTCCCGTAACATTAACCTCCAAATAGATTGGACCTTTCACTTCCGGCCCAGGGATACCCTTCAATTCTGCATTCAGTGCATTGAAGGTAAGCCATGACGGTAAGGAGCCTTTGTTTACTTCAGTTATCTGAAAATATATAAAGGACACAATTTTTAATCATCAGTCAAAAAATTGTCTATACAAATACTGTTATAAGTTGACAATGTCAATCAAATTTACAGATGATGTGGAATAATGCACCCTAAAACTATTCAAACAATAAAACAAAACATGGAATTTGTGTAAAGAAAGATCTTTTCCACTTCAACTCCTCTACATATCTTAAATTGACTTGTCCATCTTTTAGTTTGGGGAAAATTTCAATACATACAGATGGGTAGAATGAGTAGAATGATGGTCACATGGGTAAATTCTGTAGCCACCAACATGCATTAAGGGGTTAAATTTACATTCCTAAAAATATCTTGCAGATCATTATAATTATATTTTGCAATCGTAAATAAAAGCCATTTTCGCTGGATGTACTTGAATTTCAAAGATTCAACACAGTACCTTAATTCCCATTCATGTTCTCATTAAAAAAAAGCACCAGATAAAAAGTTTATCATCATTTTTTCTCTCTGTTTCTTTCTCTCAAGAGTATCAAACAGTGCAGTTATACTGCAAGTAGCGATAATATCTCAACATTGTTCACGACTTAGCTTCGTTTATTAATGATTATGTCATATATAAAGTGTATTTCACATCCATCAATCTTCATATTAAATGAATTTTTTTCTCTCTTAAAATTGAACAATTCTTTCATGAATGAAATATTTTTTTCATCTTACATTCCCCCTCCCCACTTCAAATTAACTTCATTTTCATGATGTCATGCAGTTTAAGCTTGTTTTGTACTTGAAATTGGTCCAATTTTCAATTTTCAGTAATGTACATTTTTCCAGAGTTAAATCTAAAATTAATGCCTCACATATGGAAACATTTTAAAAATAATGTTCAGATAATAAATTAGGGGTAAGAATTTTTTCCCCAAAAAAACTGTGTGATTACAAATATATGTTACAATAAATAAATGATGATAGATAAAACTTTCAAATTTCTTTATGTTGTTGTTTCCAAAAATCAGTATTTCAGAGATAATAACTTTTTTTTTAAATTTCAAACTATTTATAACACAATCATGTGAACTTTGTGCAAAATTGGCTTACACTGCCAAACCTGGATAACCACATAAATAATATTGAACATTTTTTTAGACGAAAAAACAAATTAATTTATTCAATTTTATGATATTGCATATTTTATTACAAAAGTAAAAAAAAAATAAATCTTGTTCTTTTCTTTTGCATGGACTGTATCTATATGATTCATATCACTTCTCAAATCTATTTTGACAAATTATATAACCTCGCTTTTCACACTTAACAGAACTCCTATCAATGTTTAAAGATAACCATATGGTGGGGAGAAATATACCCCCCCCCCCCCCTGGTATTTCAAAGGAAAAGAACAATCCTAAACATTTCTTGAATCAGACAGTGCTAAACTGCAAAGTGTCATTACCCATAAAATATGAGATGGAAAAATGTTGTTGGAAACATTCGGAATATGTAAACAATTGAAATAGGAGTAAAAGAAGATTCTTTCTGTATAATGATAAACATGCCTGGTATTAATAATAAGCTGACAGCCGTAAAAACAAAACTGATCTTAAACATGTCAAGTTTTTTTTGTGTCTTGAAGTTTAACCATTAGCATATTGACTAAATTTGCATAACTAAAACTTTGCCATGCCATGTTTCAATAACTTTTCATTTTCAATTCAATAATTTTTTTTTTCCGTATCAAACACACTTAAATTAAGCATAGCAAGTTAAGAAGGTTTTGACTTTGGTCAGGCTACCATATTTATACATTAAATACTAAAGTGCCGGCCAGTCCTATAAATTGGTAGCCCGGATAGCGATGGAAGACAAGTCATCATCCTCAACATGCCGTATTCAGACAGTTAAATGACAAGGTATGTTGCTCTTGTTTTCAAGGGGGCTTCAACATTTCTTTGGCATTTTCATTCGCCCATGAAGATGTCAGTCTTGGCTAGCGGACAAACATGTTTAAACATGTTTAAACAGATAGTATTACAGGAAACTGACCTCACATACTTGTACTTGCCAAAAACATTCCATGTTCCTTATTTAATGAGTTCAACAGTTGAAAAAATGTTAAAACAGCAGAAAAAACAAATATCGGGCAACAAGAGTCACAAACAATAAGACAGACTATACTAGCCCTAAACCCATGAAACAAATCTTTATTTTCTGCCTCTTTTTTGACAATTAAAATTGCACAAACCCTCAGATTTGTAAACTGAAGAAAAAGCCACACTTTGGAAACATTAAATGGTCTTTTCTGAGCGACTTTTATAATTACAGATTACAAGTAATATACAAAATTGTGTTACAAGATATTCTTGCAGTTGAAATAGTTACATCATTTGATACAGGACATGTACATAACAGGGTTTTACTAGAATTTCATATCAAAGCCTCAACTTGAAGTCTTCATAGAATTTTCAAGCAGAGAACTTTTTTTGTTAACTATTTAATGTCTCTCAGGTTAAGATATTTTTTCTTACACCTACACTAAAACCTTCTGTCAGATCCTCTATTTTTCTAGACATCATAAAATACTAAATTTTTACATAAAATTTGACAGTGATACATCTAAAGAAGTGACGTTCATGATGGGCGGCCATGTTTACATATCATAGAAGTATAACCTAAATAAAACAGGAGCAGATATTCAATTCCCACAACATCAATATAATACTGTATTATATTTTCTGTCTGTGAGATCCTGAGAATATGTAATATCCCTCTGAGAAATGCCAAAACGATAATTCAAACTTTCAATTTACATAATGTGAAAAATTTTAAACGAGATTTCAGTTTAAAATGCATTAGAGATCTGGTACAGAAATTGGCCGGCCTCTTTAATACAATTTAAGGGTTATTATGTACAATTATGTACAGTTCTCATTCACTTATGGAAGGCTTTAAATCACATTAACTCTGTTCAGGTAATAATGGTGCCTATGCCAAGTATCCATGTTGGGAGGAAAACCTCAGACAGTCCCCTTTATGAATTGTGTCATGTATATGAACATCTCATATCCCCCCCACCCACATTTTTGGAACCAAGGACTTTTTATTAACCTGTGTGAGATAGCTTTGCCACACATGAAAGAAATTTACTGGAATCTCTAGAGGGTCAGGGATTTGAACCCACAGTGCTAAAGCTGGCATGATGGCAATACAATGTTAGACACCTTAACCAGTTGGGAAATAAAGTTCCATATTCATTTATATTAGCTATAATTTTGCATTGGTAGGAGACTGCTCAATAATAAATTAAAGATTTAACATTTCCAAGGACTATCATCCCCTATCTCTTAAGAAACAATTTTAAATTAATGACAAACAAAATAATTAAACACTTTCTCCAGCATTAACCTTCAATAAAATAATCTTGGAGGCAAACTTTTTTCCCCCCTTAATTACAACTTAATCATATAAAATCAATCATTAAAAGTGAATTACAGTTCTAGGATAAGATTGTTTACTCTACAGAAAGTGAAAGACATTTAGGTCTAAAGCAGGAGGGCGGGCATTAATAAGGGAGGAACATAATTTACCCCACCCACTATAAACATTGAGTCATTTCTGATAAATGCAAGTCATAATAAAATTCCATTGTAATGATGTTTGGAAATTCTTCTCTACTACATTATGTAAACTACACATGTTTTTAGAATCTGCACATATTTAACTGTGCAATGATTCAACTGAAATGATATTAAAAAGTTTTGGATTCAAAAACATTTTACTTCAAACACTTTTGCATATTTAACATTTCACCTCACTAAATTATACTTGCACCAATCCATATTAACCTATATCTCAGTAAAAATTTGAGCAACTTAGCTCAACGGACAGGACAGGATTAGTTACCTAGGGGTCCCAGGTTCAATCTTCAGGTGAGCCAAAGTTTTTCATAGCCAAATGATCATGGACATTGTGTACAATGGTCATTTGCCACTTGTTATTGATTCAGAAATCATGTAAGATTACTCAGAGAGCCAATTAATGGAGAAAAAATGGCAATTAAACTGGTTAGTTATCCAATAAAACCGCTTAGGTGGAACGATCACAAAGGTATGACCACAACTGAGTTATAATTGGCCTAAAAACAAGAGAAATAAACATTTGAATTAAGTTTTTAAGGAAACCAGTTCCAATATATTACACTTTAAAACTGAACAATCAACAGTAAATTCTAATTAGATTTTTCTACCATATCCCTAATGTTATTCTGGTGGCACTGGCATTTCTTGCTCCTAATTATTTTCGGAACTTTAACATTATAATGATTTCAAAAAGGGGTTAACATGAGGTTATGACCCTAATGTAAATATGAAAATGGGCGTGGACACATTCACAAAAATTATAACATTTTAATTTATGGGGATGAGGAGGGACTGAACAGCTTTTATTTATACATAAAACAGATATATTCATAACTTTTTCCAATTAGGACAAATTTTAAACTTCTATTTGACCCATAATTATGTTCTCAGCCTAGGCATGTCACCTAATATAGATTAAGAACAAATGTTTCTAATTTAAACTAATTAGTAGAGGAGGGAAAAAATAAAATAATTATAATTGAGCCGCGTCACGACAAAACCCAACATAGTGCGTTTGCGACCAGCATGGATCCAGACCAGCCTGCGCTTCCGCGCAGTCTGATCAGAATTAATGCTGTTCGCTATCAGTTTCTCTACTTGTTATAGGGTCTGTAAGCGAACAGCGGATGCGCAGGCTGGTCTGGATCCATGCTGGTCGCAAATGCACTATGTTGGTTTTGTCGAGACGCGGCTAAATTATTTTTTAATCATATGCTAAAACAAGCTTTGACATGCTTCGCATAGCTGTACAATGACCCATTACCACGAGAATTATTTCCACATAGAGCAAATGACTGATAAGCCCAAGCATGTTAGCGTATGCCTAAGTGCACATGCTGATAAAGCATGGTTTACGAGTATTAATGTGCACCGGTATCGC